TGTGTGTGTGTGTGTGTGTGTGTGTGTGTGTGTCCGTGTGTCTGTGTGTGTCGATTGATGTTGATGTGTATGTGTGTATGTGTGTGTATGAGCACATGAGCGTGTATGTCAATATGATGAGTGCAAATAACGTATAATGGAATACTGTTAAAAGCACAGTATCAACTAATTCCAAAAAAGAACACATAAACGTACATCAATACTGACTTTTAAATCAGGAACAAAACTGAATAATATAGGACCGGAAAGAAGGAGGCAAGATGACACCAGAGAGCAGACGGGTATGACCTGGACACTGAGAAAACAGCTGATAAAACAGAGTGGACGTCGTTATTAGAGGGCTACACCCTACAGTGGACGGAAAACGTCTCGAAAGAAAGAAAGACAGAAAAAAGACAGATAGATAGATAGATAGATAGATAGATAGATAGATAGAAAGAAAGACAGAAAGAAAGAAAGAATAAAACCGAACCACCGAACAGTATTCCTTACCTTCAGGTATTCCCCAGTCGTCGTAAGCCCTAGAACCCTAGACCCCGTACCAGCAGCAGCAGCAGCAGCAGCAGCAACAGCAGCAGTCAGCAACAGTTATCTCTTGCCTGAGCACAGAACCTTCGGATGTGTGACGCTTCGTTCGTGCCACCCGCGATAGGGTGAGCGTCGTGTTGTCCCGAGGCACCGCGCACTGCACACGTCACAAGCTTACTGTCCCCACCAGTCCCCCACAAGCACGGGCGCACGCACGCGTTTGTGACTACAGCAGTAAGGGCGACAAACCAAACCATTCGTTTTTCCCTTTCAACAGGACGATAGATCTAATATTATGAAAAACGAAATGCTCGAAAGTATAATGTAACAACCCAGTGGTTGTATCGCCGTTATCTTTTAGTTTTAGTAAGAGTTTTACGATGCTTGCAGCACAATAAGGTCATATAAGTGCCGAATATTAGAGTTGTTACAAGACGGTAACAAACATAAAAAAGAAGGAGGAGAGATAAAGGCGACAGTAGTTTGATAGGAAAGAAGAGCAAATCCCACCAGAGCACACGCCAACCACCCACGCCGTCATCTTTGTTAGAATTTTCTTTTGCAGTAAAATTACGTTTTGTGAACCTGTTGACGTAAGTTAGAAATATTTTGGGTTCTACCTGCATCGACCCTGCCTGTTAGAGTCGACCACAGTGAATGGGCTAGCTACAGTATCCGATTAGAAGTATTTCATTGATAAAATATATTATACTTCCCCTTTCGGGAATCGAATTCACGCTAAATGCGAGCAAAGGTGAAGCGCTTAGCCACCCGACGACGTACACCCTTGCCTGGTGTAGGTAGCCGTTTTAGGTAAATGTCTAGTTGATATCTCCATTCGGAACTTTTGTATTGCTGTTTATCCCTTCGTCGAGATCTATATGACCGTAGGGGCATCAAAGATGATGGTGCAACCACTTTTCTCCATCTTTCTCTTTTTTCAGCTTTTCAAATGGCTTAACCCAAATTTTATCCTGTCCATTCTGTTGTTTTACCACCCCTTTTTCTGTCTACTTTTCTTTTTCTCTCCTTGTACAGTGCCCTGTGGGATCATCTTTGTAAGTCGTGCTGATTTTGTCATGTGCCCATACCATCTCTTTTTAGAACTTTCTAGACCTTCTACGCCAATCAGGGTATCCATTTCTTGTGGGGCCAACTTTTTGGGTTAGTCATAATGGCATGCGTTATAAACGCTTTCAGCTTAATTTTATATGGGTAGGTAGGCGGGTATTTTATTCGGTGTTTAAGTAGTTTTACGTTTAAGGTCACTGACCCACATCACATAAAGCGTGTATATTTTACAGAGGAAACATCCGAAGTGGGCACGATATACATCTATGAAGGGTCAGGCTGCTTCTTCCTTGCTCATCAGTGGAAACACGGGCTGTGAGGAGTACACCTGAATAGAAAGACGGAACTACGACAGGATAACATACATTCGAAATTGTCTAAAAGGGCCACCCATTGTCGAGGGGGAAAATGGTTGTCTTTGACAGGTAGATTTCATACAAAGTGGTACAATATTGCAAAAATAAGCAACCCACCAACCCACTCCCCCAACAATATTGCAAAAATAAGCAACCCACCA